TTGTACGTGAAGATATACCTTATGAATGTACAAACTGCAGCAGATGACGAATACATCTCAAGCTCACTCACCTCTCCTCCTTACCTTGAAGAAAGTCTGTAAGAAATGGGCTAAACCGTTAGTACTGGTCAATCATTCAGATGACAAATTATTTACGTTGTGTATAAACAAACCGTGTTTTGTGTACTTTTCCGTATAAAGGTGTCCGAGTTAATATCTTCGTGTTCTGTATTTAAAGCGGTACAGCGATGATTTGGGTCTTTTGAAATATAGGCAGTCGCTGCTTACTGCAGAATTAGAAATGAACTTGACTTGAACCGTTCAGCGATCGCAAATCTGATTCCATCTGATTTAGTTCTGTTCTGGAACAGAACTCAATCGACATGATACCAATAGTGTTTTCCATATTGATCTTTGCAAGTCCGAAACTCTTTCATGAAACCATAGATCGTACGGTTAAAACACGGTGAATCCATCAGAAACGGTGATCAGGAAGACAATTCTAATGAATTCTCACAGTTTCAGAAATCGAACGAAAAATGAGGTCGACATTCACTTCTAATCCGTCGCTGTCTTCCCATTTCGTTTCTATGGGCTAGAAAACGTTATCGCCACCAGAGCACCATATGCCGCATCGTCAGTTACGATACATACGATACGAAACGGTAAATTCAAGTTACTGAATTAGCTAACCTAATACACACTCTGAAAGTGTTGTAAGACAAAAGATGTTTAAATCATTAAGTGAAGCTTCCAAGCTTCGTCGGCTTATCAGGAACTAGTGTTGAAACCTCTTGTGGGCGACGAGGAGGCAGTAGCCAATAAAAAACGCAGAAACCCAACAAAATGACGGAGACCTGTTGTCAGAGTAGCAGTTTTTACCTCTCCAACGCAGTATATAGTCTTGAAATATCAAAAAGTAACAGGCAATGAAAAGTTGTCGTCTGACTTCCATGGGCGAAGGTACTACAGTAGCCGCGACTCTGTCATTATGGACTGCCGCATTTCGACAAACGCAAATGAACGAACGCAAAAAAACTTTTGAACGGCCAACGACATTGTCAGTAGTGCATCGCTTTAAGTACGAGCCAGTTTAGTATCGGTACATTCAGCGGCCTTTTCCGGCTTTTCAAACAGATTATATTTTCGCATAACCGCGACCGATGAACGCGCGATGGGCAGCAGTACTAACGTAACGCGAGCAACCGACCGAGTTGTGGGTTCACAACTGAACCTCGATTCTGCTAAGGCTTAAACCGACTGCGACCTTCAATTTTCCGCCAAAATTTTGGCGAAGTCAGTTTCCAACACAGTATACTCTCAATGGCAATATGCCTCTTTTTAAGGCACATGGAGAGGTGGCGTCGGATCAATGTTTCGTTTCAGTCGTCTGCTCCAAACACTTCGTTAGAGAATTCTCCCCCACTAAGGAAACCAATAATCTTAAAAGGAAGGAAAATTCATGTCAGTATGAATCCTGCCTATATTGTTAACGATGGAATTTCAGGCCCAACATAACAGTAAGCTGTATTCCCTTGGCTAGTCCTTCTGCAGTTGAATTCCAAGGGCTTCATTACCTCCAAATGCAATATTCCTGGTGTACCTGAATGATTTTTACTTCCACTTTACACGCTGTGCCTATTTTTAGTCAGCTATAAGACTGGTCAAAGCTAATAGCAGCCGTTAATCGCATCCATCAAACAGTATGTCCGTATTTCTCGCGCGCTCTAGTATGATCACGCCAGAACGTTATGCTTCCGTACTATTTGCAATTCATTGTTTCGGTACCCGTCTCTTGGAAGATGGCGCCGAATCAGTGGAGTAAATTTCTTGCTCAATAAGATTAGCTGTTTGCAAGAGAAAACTAACTGTCCACGTCACGTGGACAACGGACTGAAGAGGTTCTAATTTCTACCATGCAAACGATATGCAGCACAAAAGGGTTGACACAAATTCCATGACTGCCGGCTCTCGGCAGACATCGCTCCGTCTCATCGGAAACACTACAAGCTGAGAAGTCGGTGCAGCTAAACTGACGAAGAAAATTCGACGCTACCTTAAACTGCCATTGCACGAATGCGTTTAGTCTTTCTTTGCTGCTTTTCCGGAGGTCACTATACTAGGAGCTGACTAACGAGGATTTCTCATTAATAAGTACCCAACTACAACAGAAATGGCTGCCTTCGGCGGTGGCTAACGATTCTACCTTTGAAAATCTTTTAATTCTCCATCCAGCTTTTGACCTACCGCACAGAAACCGGATATTGCTCAATCGGTTACGCAGAGGTTAAGGCCAGTGCGTGCTAAACGACTGCCGATGGAGCACTCAAGGCAACTGATCTGCCATTGCGGTCAACCACGATACATGTTTCATATTTCTGACGACGTCCAGTGAGTCAAATGGAAGGATGCATAGCAATCCAGAGTTCAATTTCTGATAGTATTGCAAATCGACTGGTCTGCCTGTGCCTTCGATGAATAAATACACGGCGAGTGTGTTGTTAGGGTGTCATACCAGCGACTGGCAGTTGCCTCATTAAACCAGTCACGTTTCTGCGGCCTGATTTCCAGGCAGAGAGATGCGATAGCTTATAGATCCTTCTAGGAAGAATGCAAAACAACATAAAAGCGGTTTCTTAATGCACAATACAAATGGTAGCCAATCGAGGGATTTGTTGACATCGATGTTTCGGCTCGTATCGCACGCATTTTCTTCAACCTAAATACGATGGCAAAGTTTGGTGATTGCTTGGATCGTTGGTAGCAGTTGGCACGGTTGAAGAGACTTCTCTGAATATAAGAAAAATTAACTGCACAATATTCAGTTCTTGCTCTCAACTGTACCTTCCCACTTAAACGTAGATTCTTACTTCAGGCTTATCTTAGCGTTTCTGCAGTTGATCACTGTGTAAGAGTGTTTGCTAGTATAATCTATCTAAAAGCTGAGTACCGAATTCAGCCTAAACTCGAAAGGTAAACAACACTAACCTGAGTCATTTGTGAGATCTCTGTTAAACATGCAACAATCTATATCGCTTTGATGCATTGGAATTGTTTACCGCTTTAGTAACTGAATTACTTCTTGTGTTACTTTCTATCTTTATTGTAAGAATTAACAGTGAAAACCAATCCTATGTTAATTAAACAGATACGAATGCGATGCTGTTCGTTGCATCCTATTTGTACTTAACAGACCTGCGTTGACTTGGCTTCAAAGCAGTACTGAATGTTCTTCTAGAGTGCTCAATACTGTTGTCAGTCACATCCATCTGAAAATGCCTTCATTTCGAATGCAACTATAGCGAAGTCAGATCGAATCGAACACCTGGCAAATCATCAGTCCAATCCCCCGAAGCAACCATTTAGGTGTGCTGAAAGCGAGCGTAGTTTTTGCTTTTCTTTTCATCACTTAAACAAGTGGTCTATGGCTGATCTGCCCATCATAATTTTCTTTAAATATGCTGAAGACACGACAATCGTTATAGCTGTAATTAGCGCTTTTTTAGTTCTCATTCACCATAGCAATACGTCCAGCTTCGTTAGAAGTTCTTTATGCTGCTGCGGATCAATCCTGATTATGATAAAACTGAAGGTTTAAACTATGCGAAATATGTTGGAGTTACTGTGTCTCAAGATCTGCCGATCATGTGAAACTGATTGCTGATAAAACGCTGAAGAGAGTTTACTATCCTACTCGTGTGCGGCAAATGGGAGTTCGAAAGTCCACTCTGCGTTTTTTAATCAAATCATGCATTCTTTCCTTCTCCACCCATATCTTCATTCTTGCACCGATTCTCACATGCTGCAATTTGCCTTTAAGTTGATAGCATGCAATGGCTACTTCGAAAACTTGCACAAACATCCTCAAAGCTTGCTTGCGCTTTGACACCGGTATTCTCTATAACAACAACCATCCATCTCGTCCGGCTATATTTTTGTACGAGATCAAAAGTAGTGAATATATACTGAGTAGCACTGAAGAGTAACTCAGTCATTCTTGACTTGGTTCGCATCATGAAGGATCTATCGTCGCTGCTGATAGATGGTGCAAACAATGGCTTAATCTGCCCACCGCCTAATGTGTATTCACGCTTCGTGTCCTTTCGTGCTGAAAGATACGGTCATGTCCCATGTATTCCAGCAATAAAACAAGGCCATACACTGATTAATTCTGACAACGGTTTCATTTACTTAATATTCCATTCATGCACTGTTATACAGATATTCTGAAGAACTGATTAAATGACTCATCTTCGAAAGCGACTAAGCATGACTTAAACATCAGTGGAAGTACCTTGCAAATGTTATTGCAGCCTCATTTTTATATTAGTTAGCTGTTCAGGTAGTCTATGTATCTTTCTAAGGTAACGAAAGCCATGTGGTGAATAAGTCAAACTCAGCACGCCTGTCTGTACATTCAGACAAATGCTACTCAGGAAGGTCACTTCGTGAACATCGCGATAATCTGCATTTCACACAAACTCATGATGGTGTTATGACAAGTTCAAAAGAGTTTCAAGAGTTCAAAAGAACATTAGACAGGCGTACAATCTGTTCTGATAAACAAAACTCGAACATGAAGCAAAATCTGCTCAAAATCGATGCTCGCTGACAAACGCAGGTTAATACAAACTGTAGAAACATCTGGCGGAGGCGATGAACTTGTGAAGAGGAACAAAATCTTACTCACAGCGACCAAACAGCAATATTTCCGAAAAACCTGATCTGTTCATATCAGAGGTTATTAATTAGTAGCGCGATTTTTTGACTATAAG